ATATATATATATATATGATACACATCACGAGAAAAGGAGAAAGAAGGAGGGAGGAGGGGGGGTAGCCAGCGGCAGTAAACTTCGCGGATTATGCGAGAGGACGGGGGTGAGTCCCCTCGGAGCTTCCGGTGTATATCTTCTCGCTCTTGTACTCGACGGGGGCTGCCCTGGAAACGGGAACGTAAGGAGTAGGCGGAAGTCACGGCTCGTCCCGCCACTTTGCTCCGTTGAAATAATATATATATATATATATATGTGTGTATACGCATCGTTTTCCGCAGCGTTTAGTGCCCCCCTCTATTTTGCGATGTTTACTCGCCCCCCCCCCCCCTTCCACCCAACTCCCCTTTTGTGTGCGAAAGGGTTAACGTGCTTGTAAACGCGGTGGTTTTCCGTTTGCTTTTTGATGCCGCAGCTGCTGCTTTCTTTCTCCCTACGGTTTTTCCTTTTTTTTTTTTTTTTCATTTTTCTTCGTTTTTTTTAGCAAAACATTTTTGTGGTCTTTTTGTCCCATAAGACGCGTATACACACCTATAGTATCTAGTTTACGTTTGTAGGTGTGTATCGCTAATACTTATACGGGTACAAATTAACAGCTATATACTGCTTCACGCGAACTAAATTAGAGATCTAGTGTACGTATATACACAAAAAATGTTATTCGTGCGCCTGTTGAATCTGAAATGAAGATACTAACATGAACATTGGCTCATATTCGACGAGAACAATCAGTTCACCGTTTCTCAATTGTACGAATTCCCTGTGAAATCTACGAGAATCCTTTCCGTCAGATATCAATAAGGACCACAACTCTGTCCCAAAAAATCAAACGTATTATTCTCGTCGTACCTATAATTATAACGGTGTAGTTCACGTGCAAAGTTAGCGGGACGTTGCGATCAAGTATTTATACACTACAGCGTATAATATATAGGTGCTGCACCGAACAACCCCGTGTGTAGGGTGGCAAAGGGCTGAAAATAACCGATTCTACCGCGAAAATTGATATTCATGCCGGTTCAGACCTTACAAAGCTATTCCCGAAAAAACGTATCCTACAGGCAAAAAGTATAGCCAAGAGCTTGTAATTCGAAGCAGAAACGACACCCCGAATGATGGTGTATCAACAACAGCGTCGACTTACATTGTACGCTGCACGAGAAGCGTACAAATACTTGTAGTGAAATAAAAAAAAAAATTTTTTTTTTTTTTAAATGTGTCCACCACCGTGGACTCGATCACTAGGGACTACAGGTACAGGAGGAGCGCAAGAGGAGGCACGACAGTCCTTGCTCCCCCGTGGATGCTTTTTCCCTTGTCTTCTTCTCTGCCTTGGCTCACGTATACACCACCCGCGCGATCTATCTGTACATTAGACGGAAAGAGGATGGTTGGCTCGGCAGGGCGGCCGTCTTATCGCGTGACTTCCTACCTCGCACACCTCCATCCCCCCCGTCACACGTATACACACGGAGCATCCTCCTCCCGGCCGTCGATCCAAAACCCACTGACGCCTCGGCGCGCTCAGCCAGAAACCGACGATAAGGTTTCCCCGTCGCCCTCCCCCTTTTTTCTCTCTCTCTCTCTCACTCCGCGTTCCGCTCTATCTTTGGCCCGTGCTGTGTATATGTATACCATATACACCTCACCTCCGCCGTACCCCGCAGTATCTCATCTTCTCGTTTTCTCTTTGTCAGTCCTCCTCTACTTACTTTTTTCTCTCTCTCTCTCTCTCCACACACTCGCACGGCCTCTTTATCTCGGCGCGCTTTTTCATTCGCAAGCTCGCGCGCTTACATACGTTTTCCTTCTCTCCTCCGTCCGCTCGTCTTTTCCCTGCGCCCCCTTTTTTTTTTTTTTTTTTTTTTTTCCCCCCCGCCTGTCTCCTCTCGCGGGGGCTTCATGAGAGTTTATGGGCCATTGGGCGTTCAAATTCCCGAAGCTCGCACTGCGCGCTGGCAACACACGCCCCGAGAGCACTTGGCTTTGTTAAACAGAGGAAAATAATCCAACTGCATTACGAACAAGGTATAAATAAAGGTTCATTGTGTTGATTTTAGTGTCGGAGCTTGAAGGTGGCGTCCACTCGGACGAAACGAACAGCGGCGGGGACAACAGCAACGCGGGCAGCGTAGGCGGGGCGGATGACGATCAGGCGCGGCTGCGGCTGAAACGCAAGCTCCAGAGGAACCGGACGAGTTTCAGCAACGAGCAGATCGACGCGCTCGAGAAGGAGTTTGAGCGCACGCATTACCCGGACGTGTTCGCCCGCGAGAGACTGGCCGGGAAGATCGGCCTGCCCGAGGCGAGAATACAGGTAATATATGACATACATGCCGATGCACTCGGTACTGCGTATACATATGTGTGTGTCTGATAATACTTAGCAAAAAAGTACAACGTATGAATACGTGCTTGCTTTTTTTTTTTTTTTTTCGAGTTTTTGCTTATCGATGTCACATGATCTTTTTAGTGGCTTATGCGACTGCTGTCGTAAAATTTAATTGTATATTGTCACCAGAGCAGTCGGTTTGTGAATCAAATTGAAAGCCACGAGTATAACGTGGTCCGAGTATTTTATCATCAAATCAAGTAATTTTCATACAATCAAGCTCGAATTGCATAAATTACGTAATTATGCTAGATACAATAATTATGGTTTCGTATATATATACACACCTTGTAGTTGAACTTTATGCTCCAGTAATAAATGTATCGTAATAAAAAAAACGTAGAATTTTTGTTTAATCACTTGCTCAAAAGACAACTGTCGAAATATTGAACCGTATAATATTTAAAAATAGAGTAATTATAGTATCTAAACTTATTTTTTTACAACACCCATTCCTTTTCGTTGCGAATGATAAAATCCTACTCCATCGACTTGAATCTCCCACCTACTCTCATACATGTGCTCCTAAATCTCTATTAGCTAGTATCGTAGATGTGTAGCCTAGCGATTGACCAACGATTTTTCGTCTCTCTGTCTCGTCCAAAATAAAACTCAGGTCTGGTTTTCGAATCGGCGTGCAAAGTGGCGTCGCGAGGAGAAGCTGCGCACCCAGCGAAGGGACAATCCGCAGCAGCAACAACAACCCCAGCCTCAGCCGTCGCAGCAGCAACAACCACAGCAGCAACCTGCGGGCGTCGGTGGCGTAACTTTGGGCCATCCGACGCCTCCACCGTCCTCGGGGATCCTCGGGGGTCAGCCGCCCCAGCCCCCCTCGCCGCCCAGGCTACACCATGGCTTTGCACCCTCCGTTTACTCCAGTATACCCAGCATGCCCGACACGGGCTACAGGTGAGCGGCTTATTGTACACTCTTAATTACAATTTTACCTTTTTTATTCTATATTTTAAGATATGCAAGTGTACAGCCTATATCATAAATTTAGCCGATTCATCAGACATTTCATTTCACCGATTTCAGTTCTATGGCGTCGATGTCGTCGTTTTCGTCGCCGATGACATCGCTGACGAGTGGCGCCGGCAACGGCAACGGTGCCAATGGTGGTGGTAACAACGGACAGCCCAACCTAGGTGGCAACCAACAACAGCACCCAAACTCGATGTCCCCGATGTCACCACTGTCGTCGAACGGCGTGCTGGGCTCGAACCCCAGTCCCTCGGCGATGAGTCCGATGGGCATGACGGTGGGAATGACAGTGGGCCCGTCGCCGGGGGCCTGCCTCCAGCAGCGCGACGTCAACAACGGCTACTCGTGCGCCGTGGGCGTGGGCCGGGCTCCGAGTACCGGTTACGAGCCCCTGCACCTCGGCTACGGCGCCAGGCCCAGTTGCAGTCCCACGCAACCTTACCACTCGGCGGCTGCCGCAGCTGCTGCCGCGGCCGCCGCCGCCGCCGCCGGGCTTAATCAGTACAACCACCATCACCACCACCACGTGCCGAACCACCACCATCACCATCACCACCACGCGGCCAGCTCGACCGGTGAGTGTCTACCGCACTCGCTGCACTCGCTGCTTGCACTTTAGCCCACCAAGGACGCCTACAACCTTCACCAACAACTGCAGCAGCAACAGCAACAACAACAACAACAACAACAACAACAACAACAACAGCAGCAGCAGGAACAGCCACACCCTTTACTACATCATCATCATGAGCAGCAGCAGTACAGCACCGCCAGCAGCTACTTACACCACCACCACCATCACCAGCAACAGCACCACATCGGATATTACGGATATTAGAATAGCTGAGCTGAGCAGAGCTCGTCGTCGGCCGATCTCCCTCCGTGGCTCCTCGCGTTTCGCACCCGTCCGACTCCCTCTGTCCGTCTCTCACTCGCGAGATGCCGATTTCTCTTTATTTTCATACATCTCCTGTGCATACGTTTTACCAAAAAAACAAAAAAATATATTGTACGCGTGTCGAGTCGGAGGGATGCTTACAGCCACCTATCCCGCACGTACGCACGCACACACTTCGAGCGAGAGATCACTTACCTACTTTGATTGAGCCTTACAGGCCGTGTTCAGAGCAGTTGTTACGACCTGATTGTGTCCGATGATCCCACCCTTAGCCTGGTAATAGAATAAAACAAGTTTTGCATGCCGGTTACTGATTGCGATTGCGTGAGGTTTGATTTAATTCAAGACTTTTATTTCTTTAATGGTCCAAAAAAAGTTGTTGCCACGTATTGTATAACGAGTTACGGAATCGCAATAGTATACGTATACCTTATTACATCATATTACTCACATGCACGCCAAAGCTGCAGCTTTTGCACGATTAATCTTACATGTCTTTATGTGTTTTTTTATCTTTAATCAAATTAAACAATTGTAAATATAGATTTACGTGTCAATGTGTACATAAATATAATTTTAAACAAAATGAAACAAAAATGGCGTGCATTTAATTTCACTCTCACCATCAAATGAAAGATCGTCACAGTGGCATTGATCCAAAGATCATAACGAGGCCATGAAATTGATTTCCAGGTCTGATATCGCCAGGGGTGAGCGTGCCGATCGCAGTGCCAGGACAGCCCGGCCCCGACATGGCAGCACAATATTGGTCGCCGAGGCTGCAGTGACCGTCGTGGTACTCGTTGGCGTCAACTTCCCTGTAATAAGCTCAATAACGCGATTTATCGCTATTAAAAGTTTTAAATACAAAACACCATCAAATTAATGTGTATTATGTATACACTTGCCGATTTTTCGTAATATGAAATTGAGCGAGAGTGAAAGAGAGAGTGCGAGCGAGCTACGAGATTCTGTCGAACGATCGATCGTTGTTGCGTTCGTTATAAATTTGTATAATTTTGTATAGTCAATCCCCCCTCACGATTTTCGTGTTTGTGCATTACGAAGAGTTCTTTATCGTTGTTGTTAACTTATAAATCGTTTAATTTTTATTCTCGCACGTATACATATACCTGTAAATTGAATTGATCGTCGATTCATAAGTGAATAACGAGTCATTCAGAGTCTACGCATTAGAAAGTAAAAATTTTTAATTAAATCAGAGCTGGAAACTGACATAAACGAATCCCGTTTCACTTAAAGTTTCATGGTCACGGTGCCTTACGTGTTTCAGTGGAATTTTAATCGGAAAGCTCTGAATATTACGTGATTTTTACCTTTTATTGCTTATTTGCTTTTTGGGAAACAGGAAAGACAATGCACAAAGAACGAGCACCATTTGCCCGAGTATGTCAACGAGACACTGTTGTATACCTAAAATTTAAGAAAAACAAATGTTGAAAGTAGGAGAAAAGTGTTCTCGAAATGATGTGCGAGTGAGTTTTCTTGAAAGAAAATCCTTGTGAAATAATATGGACAAAATTAAAAAATTAATAAATCCCTTCATCACTAGGAACGCGTTGATCGAATCTTGTACAGTTGAAATTTATAGTGTTGATGAATTGAAGGAAACGAGCGTCATCAACCTGTGTGTACTTATGTATGATCTGGTATTATTTTACGGAAGCTTGCAAGCACGATGTATCCAAGCCATCTTGCAAGTAACATCCTTAATGCATTGAAACAAGAAGCTTGAAGAGGAAATATTAATTTCTTAAGAAGAACTCTTATTTCTTATATTAAGCATTGACTTATTGAGAAAAAAAAAAAAAAAAAACTTTTTCCATTTGCCAGGACAGGAAAAGGCTTCTTTTAACATTAACTGTGTTTCCTAGTTTTTAATTTGATGTTTTATTGCTTTGTCCCACTGCAGTTAACTTCTAGCCAACAATAAATTTCGTAGTTGGACAATGCTGAAATATATGCAATGCAATATAACCTCTGTTAGAATAAGGTCGAATTGTTATTGTTAAGACACAGGCTTCCTGTTTTGGTACAAGGACTTTTTTTAATTACGTAAAATATTTGTCGACGTGTAGGATTTTTTGGTTCAAATGCGTGTACTTCCTCATATTTTTATGGTGATAATGTTCAAGCGACAAAATATAACAATCAAATACAACTTATTTTATTATATACTTAGCCTTTCAAATCGTTAAAAATTCATGAATTCATCTTATGTGAATATGTGATGATCACCATGCCATAATTATACTGTTTTGTGTTAATCTTTATTAATTTTATGGACCCGCGGAAACTGGAGTCACTTGTTACTTCGTTTATACTTGCTTGTTAATCAGCGCCATCTAGCGTGTGATTTTTCTCGTCGCTCATAGACCCTACTGACGTTTTTTTTTTGGCCGGCGAAGAAAAGCACAACTCAGATTTTGCCGTTCAAAATGACATAGAGAAATCTGAGTTGTGCTTTTTTTGTCCCCGTCAAACTGGCTATATTCGACGGCCCGGATACTCTATACTGACATTTTTTTGCTTCGGACGTGATCCGGTGATCGGACTTCGTTGGTGGGGGCGGCCTTTTCTCTTGAAGATCACACCCAAAGCCAAAAAACGTGTCCGTATGGTATCCAGCCCGTCGAAAATAGCCAGTTTGACGGGGACAAAAAAAGCACAACTCAGATTTCTCTATGTCATTTTGAACGGCAAAATCTGAGTTGTGCTTTTCTTCGCCGGCCAAAAAAAAAAACGTCAGTAGGGTCTATGAGCGACTAGAAAAATCACACGCTAGATGGCGCTGATCAAAATACATACTTGCACAGTGCACAGTGCACACAATGTACATATATATATGTACAATGTACTTCGTACTAATGTACTGTACTTGAATGGAATCGGAGATCCTACACAATAAATCAAAACAACAAAACTCATGCATTTTGCGATGCACTTCTGTCTTAATTGTTTTTTTCAGTCTTCACACTCTAACAAGTGTAGCACGAAATTCGTGTTCGTGTGAGCGTATGGCATCCATGGGTACACACAAGCTTCCGTAATGATTTAGATAAAAAAAAACAATTACATTTGCACCCTTAGGGCGAGATTACATGGAGTCTGGCAGAATCGCGCTAAGTTTAAAATATGTTTCAATATTAATATTTAAAATCTGTTACGTAAGCAAAGAAATAATTATCGTAATACATTTGCATTTCTGTATTAACTAATATTTATGAAAAAAAAGGCTACGAAAAACGTTTTGTCACAGTTACATATTGTTATACATACCAGGTTACATCAATGACCCTACTGACCGACTGTGCGATGTTAACATAAATCTATAAAAAAGTTATAAAATAATATTTGACACGTTTTATTATAAATGAAATTGATTGTAACTAAGCCTTTATTCTGTTATGACAATAATTACAATTTTTTCTTTATTTTACTAAATTATTCTGAGATGTTATAATTTAAACATAATTTAAACTTATTAGCGCGATTCTGCCAGTCTGCATACTGCCAGACTCCATGTAATCGCAGCCTAAGGGTATCCAAAAGAATATCCTAAACTTGTCAAATTCATATCTAAACTTGACGTAAGACAAGTTTAGGATATTCTTTTGGAGCTATTCACATAGACATTTTTTGCTTATTTCATTGTGAACGTTCATATTGAAAAGGGGGTTCCACTGTTCCGCTAAACTCAAAGTGAGTGAACAGACTGAACAGACCTATACCTCTTTTTCCATCAGGCAACAAAGCCTATGGTCGCAACTATGTTGACTGACAGAGAACACATTATAGGTCTGTTCAGTCTGTTCACTCACTTTGAGTTTAGCGGAACAGTGGAACCCCCTTTTCAATATGAACGTTCACAATGAAATAAGCAAAAAATGTCTACGTGAATAGCTCCTTTGGTCCATAATCGCAGCCTAACGGCACATGTTGCGTACAAATATTATGACTTCTCCTCCTCTCCTTTTTCCATACAAGGTGAATATTTTACCTTATCAGTTACGTATAAATATGCGTTAATTGATCGACTTCGAGTACTTACTTATGCTTCCTTCTACCGTTTCTGATTTTTCTTTCTATTCCAAAATAAGGTTATAAGTTGTCGGCGTGAATGATATTCTATTAAAAAAAAAAAAAAAAATTTGTATAAAGCGTTGTGAATATATCGAATTCTCGAGTTGTAAAAAAGCTAGAAAAAAATGTACACTCGTGTTTCGACTTTGTATAAATATGATCATGTATGTATATTTTTAAAGGAAAAACAAAAATAATACACAGAATCATTTTCGAAAGATCTCTCATCTGTAAGTTTTATTTTAATTCCACAGGTTGTTTGGATTATTTTGTAATGTTATGTTAGAAAATATTGTAAATAATGTAGTTTTAATCATTATCGATATCGCTTTGAGTTATAATGCAACTTTTTTAAAATCATATCGCTGTTGTCGACGGACAAGGATCATCGCCTTTTCTTACCATCATTAATATACCGTTTACACCATTCCCTTCATAGACACGCTTATAGGAAATAATTCAATTAAAGAGTAATAAAACATAGTTTTTAAGTCGATATTGCCAATATTATTATTTATATTCATGTAACAAAGTGACAATTAAGACCATTGGACGTTTGTTAATGTGCATACCGTGAGAAAAAAGTATCGGCAGTTATTTATACATATATAAATAAATGTGGAAAAAATACATATGTATATAATGATCTAGTTGATGAAAAATTTTTCATACATACCTGCCGCCGATCGACCTTTAATTTATCCATACATACACTCAGCTAGTGTAACTTTAAAATTTAAGGAAACAAAAAAAACATGAGGGGAAAATAATGCAAAAAGCGAGACCAAGTATCATTTTTCAGCGTAATGACTATTGTGCATTAATAATAAATTATAATGTGATTGATCTACAAATCCAAAGATTCTTCATTAACCTTCTTTTGTATGAACAATTTAATAAGACTCGGGAGAACGAAACAGGGATTTAACCATGACAAAATATAATAGACACATCAAGCAATTTTACATATTATACTTTTAAAAATGTAACAATTTATATATACTTTTATTTTACTAGACATTTGTACAATTCATTCACTGATAATACATGGCTTTTTTGTTATAATTTTTGATTTGTTTAAAATGTTTTTTTTTTTAATTAACAAAAAAAAGTATAAAANGAAAACAGCGCCAATCAAAAAAACAGAAATAACTCTTATTAAATAAAAAAGAAACTTTCTAAGCTAAATCTTGTTTGACTATCCTACATTAGTTGTACATGATAATCTCAAAATTCAATATTAGTCAAATATTTTACAAATTTCTACATAGTCATACTCTTCATAAATAATAATAATTATTATTACTTATAATTCACGATCATTATTTGTCAATGACAAGTCATTTTAGTATTTACAATAATACAATAAAGAGTAAAAAAAAAAAAAAAAACGAAAAAAGAGAGCGAGAAAGTAAAACTTATTGCAACGAGAGATCCAAAAAAATGCATCGAGCTGGCAACTAGTGAACAACTCTCGTCCTGCACAAGAGTTGGCACTTGATGAAGTACACGTGGATAAAACCAGAAGTACTTCAGGACAGTAGAGCGTCAATGTCCTTGAGTATATCATCTTCCTCGTTGGCTTCAGTTTCAATCTCGATTGCCCCACTGTCACAGGCACCGTCTAGCTTTGTAATTTTCGTAACGCCATCAGATCCTTCCTTATTGGTTCCTTCCACTTCCAGGGTAGCCGATACCACCGCCTCTTGATCCTTGGACGACTGGTTGTCGTCGGTACTGCTGTCGCACATTCTGATCTCAACGCTCTGTCTTCTACTGCTCGGCACATCTACGTCTTCCGGCCTCTTATCCTTCTGCTGGGCATTATCCGCCAAACCCTCTATCGATGTGCTCGTGACTATCAACCTAGACCTCCTCAACCTGATAGGCCGCGCCTTCGTCTCCTCGCTCTTGGGCCTCTTAGCACTCTGTTCCTTGACGTCATCACTGACCAGCTCGATGCTTCTCTTCCGCCTCTCGTTGAGGGCTCTACTTGGTTTCGTTCCCCTCAACTCGTCCAGCGTCTTGATCGCATCCTTGAAAAAATCTTGGTCCTTTTCCTCTGGCCTCGACACGACAATCGCTTGCCTGACGACTTTGACCTCCGTTTCGCCCTGCTCATCAGCCTCCTGCTTCTTCTTCCTCCTCTTTCTGATCTCTTCGAGACTAAGAATTTCAAAGTCCAGCTCGGCCTTATCATCATCATCGCCATCCTCGTAAGCCGGCGCCGGTCTCTGACCGAGCCTGGGCTTCACAGCTTTCTCACCCCCAGTGTCCGGGCTCTCTGGATACGGATACTGTAGCTGCTCGAGCTGCTGATAGTGCTCGGAGTACGAGTAGAAGGCCGCGCTCTCGGCTTGTATTTCCTCCAGGCGAATCTCTTCGTACGTTTTGCAGGACGAGACCCGATTGCGGCGGCTCTTCGAGGGCGAGGGCGCGCTCTCACTGTCCGATTCTGCAAGCACATGCGAACAGAAAAAAAGTTTTGTCTTTTTTTTTGTTTTGTTGGTTTTTTTTGTTTGTTTGATTGTTTGTTTGTTTTTTTTTTTTTTTTTTACAATGTCATTAGTTGTGTTTAATTCTTCAAAAATTTCTTGCTGAATATCGCTCTAAATTTCTTGCTTATCAAACTGTACAGCTGAGTTTTCACTAATATTATCTGTAAGTTTAGCTTTTTTTTCATTATTTCC